TCCGAAGGAGTCTCTTTGCCAAAAGAGTACGTATTATTGAGTCTGTTCCACATCCTAAACCAAGATTTATATAAAACCGTGAAATACCACACATTACGACCTTTCGCCGCAGGAAGGAAAAAAAATGACTTCATAACACCATTCTACACACACACACACACACACACACACACACACTCCAAGTTTCAGTAATGATTCTCTGTCAAATCTCCACCATGTGCAGTGTAATTTTTTTAAGTGGGAGGGTGTGAAGGGCGGTAAACAGTCCCCAAGCTATATTTTATTTTAAAGCATTTCCCCCCCTTGCAAAGCCGAGAAGATAGAAATCTGTCACTGGAAGCTTGTTGTCATACAAGGACTAATTCTGCCACTTGTCATTTGCAAGGTGGGAGAAGAGGGCGGGGGGGGGCGGGAAGAGACAGGATATGGACTCAACTTTCATCTATAAACAAGGGTCACTAAACAGGGGACATTTCATTATTGCCCTTAAATTCATGGGAGCCAGGAAGCCTACTTGCCACCCTGCGGGGTGGCCCTGGCTGGGCAGCTCCAGGGTCTGTGAGGTAGTGGGAGGGGGCAGAATCATCACACACTGTCCTAGGGGCTGGAAAAGATGCCCAGGAAATTCTCTGTGCTCATGGTGGAAAAATTGAGCTCCTGGGAATACAAGAGAAGTTTAGGAATCCCTGACCAGGATGTCCTTACCAGGAACCAGAACTGGACTCCAGAAGTCTCAGCCTGGGTGGGGTTCATTCTCCAGGAGGCAGCAGCTGGAACCCAGGGCTTGCTTTCACGCTGGAACCAGCACAGTGCTCCAGCCTCTCTTCAGACTCTCTTGCTGTAATTCTCCAACTCCCTCTCTCTTTGGTCCCTCCACAGTTTAAGGAGACTGACCTTGATATTTTACAACCATATCTTCAGGCAAGGACAGTCCTTTATCAAAAATACTGGACTTTCTGGAATACAGAAAGAAGTACATCAGTGACTTGAAGCAAAATAGGCAACTGGGCTGATTTACATGAGAAGGGGGGTGTTAATTAATAAAAATTAATGATAGGATTAAAGGCAATAGCCAGCCAAGCTCAGTGAAAGGATAGCTTCCAGGCCAGCTTTATTTGATTAGCAGCAATTAATATATTTTCTGCTAATATCCTTTAGGACTCCGAATAACTTGTTCACTGTGAAAGAGAAGGAGATGGAGTTCAGGAACACTTACCAACACCCGGGGCATTTTGCTCTGATGACAAGAGGGACTGCAAATTCATTTAAGAAAATGTTCATAAACAAATGACAGGCACACTCTGAGGCCGCCTTGGTGGAAACAATGGTGAAACTGACAAATGCTCTTTGCTTGGGGGAGGGGCACTTCTTTAAAACAAGGATAATGCTTTAGGAGAGAAAAGGGGAAAAAGACAGGTTTAAAAAAAAGAAAGAAAAAGAAAATTATTTCAGACTCCAGGCAGCAGCAGATGTAGCAGCCCTTGCTAACACATCAGTCCTACACATATTGAGGATTTGGACACGTAATGCTTCAGACCACTGATGTGCTATTTTCTTAATTCCCGCTCTTCTTTTTCCATATGAATCAAACAGTCTTTTGTCCTTCAGGGTTTGATTTGATCGCTACTGTTCACATTTCACTTTTGTATTTTTTCTCTTCCTATACCATTACTCATTGAGTGCCCTGTGAAATTACAATTGTACATTTTCAACTCAGCAACCCATTTGCAGTGCAAAAATAGGGTCTAAATAATGGCTGAATTAGCCCTACTGGACAGTTTCAGATGTAACACTCTGTAATAATTATATTGCAGGCTGGATTAGGATGCTATTATCATAATCTGGACGTTTACAATTATCTGTAATTTGCAAAGATGCGCCAGGTCTTGATTACAGCAGTTTTTTTTTTGTATCACGCTAACCATCACTAAACAGTGACAGTAATAACAGCTAATTTTGCTGGCAATATAAGAGGTGCTGGGGTGTGCAAACAATTTCACACCTGGATATGCTCACTCAACCAAGAATATAGAGAAAGAGCTTCTGCCCTGAGACTCAGAAAAATATTCTCCTCTGCTTCTGTTCAGTATAGATTTCTAGACCCTGATCATTGCTTAAGAGATATTCACTGGGGGTAAGTTTTTATTTCTTGCATACTTCAAGACACAGTTCATATTTCTCTTCTCACACTTTCCAAGCTGTATGTGTTGCTATTGTAATTTATTATGGATTGCAACCTTAGAGACGATTTTCAATTCTAACTTTTTACCCACCTTAACAATAAAGGGTTTGTCGTTCTGGTGAGTAAAAGGATTCGGGAAAGAAAGGGATCCTTAAGAACTCGATTTGTCTTTCTTGCTTTCTGTGCTGTTGATATTTGGTGCAGCTTGTGACTGGAGACTGAGGAATGCACCAGGTTTCTGTAAGGTGTGGAGGGAGCCAACTGGAGATGCCAAGCTAAAATCTATTTGAAAAATTGTCACTCAAAGCTAGTCCTAGGCGAATCCATTGAGGTCTTTACATATGACGATGAAGAATTTGGGGGCATCGAAAGAGCAAACGGAGCTCGGGACAGGTTCTCCTTTAGCATCACAGGTATGCGGACATTGGCAAGGGCAGGTGTAGCCTGAATCTCTCAACTTTACAGCCCCTTTGACGCCTTCCTCTACTTGGGAGAAAGTTTCTGGAATAACTGGCCTCTGAAACCCTTCAGGACTGCTTTACAAGGTCTTTGCCTCAAGCTGGTGGGGGGATACTGGGGAAGGGGGGGATGCCGACCGTAGAACTATTGCCCGCGAGACCCAAACCCCGCGACCTTGCGGTTGGAGGGGCACGATTGGCTGAGACGCAAAACCGAGCTGCGGAGCCAGGGAACCAGTCTGATTTAGGAACGCACCAACGAAGACTCTCGCAAGAAGCGGTGCAGTTCCATCTATAGATGACGCTGTTTCCTGACCCTGTAGACACTGGAAGCAGCTACAGAGGTTAAGTGCAGGAGCCTGAGAAATCTTTGGCTCCCTCACCCCGGTGCAGAAAGGCTTTTCTCCAGGCGTCAGGAACCTTTGGACTAAATTGTGTTAAAAGATAATAAGATACTTATTGGCGCCGAGAAAAAAAATTTTTCCCCTTCACCCTCACCCCCCGCAGCTATTTTTTTTTTACTTGAAAAATATGGTCCGAAGGAGACTCTAGAACTCGAACTCCGGAGAAGTTCGAACGTGGGGAGGCGTAGTAAGCACCGCGACTGGGCGCTGCCTTTAGCCCACGCCCCTCCTACCAATTCTTCTCCGGGGAATCAGTTTACTACGGGGTCAATACATTCTAAGGAGCGAAAATATTAACCCTTGAGGATCAGAGGACCCAGAAGAAGCCCAATTCCAAAGCCAGTTCTGGGAAAGACTCCTTGGCAGAATTTTTTGTTTAATTAAACTCATATTAAAAGATTGAGAGATGGAGGCAGGCGCATCATGACAACAGCTCCGATGTGTTAAAATGCATTTTCTGGGTTTCAGAATTCCATGCACTCACAGTGGTTTGGCATGTGTCTGGTGAATTTTTTTTTAAGAAAAATTAGTGTTGGTTTCAATGTATGGTAGCTTTTTCTCTAACGTAATTTGAATAATTCAGCAAAGCCCTACTACCAGCTGTACTTCTGCAGCCTCTTCCATTCTTTTCAGCATTATAATTTTGGTTAATTTTCAATTTTAGGTCCTACGTCTCTGCAATTTGTGTATGAATAACAGAATAATTTCCCTCTTTTGTTTCGCCTTTCCTGTTCCTGAATCTAAATAAAGATGGCTTTTTAGTATTAAAAGTGGAAGAAAATTACAGGTAATTATCTTTGACGGTAAAAACGCTGTAATCAGCGGGCTACATGAAAAATTACTCTAATTATGGCTGCATTTAAGAGAATGGAAAAAAACCTTCTTGTGGATAAAAACCTTAAATTGTCCCCAATGTCTGCTTCAAATTGGATGGCACTGCAGCTGGAGGCTTTGTTCAGAATTGATCCTGGGGAGCTACGAACCCAAAGTTTCACAGTGGGAAGGGGGAAAAAAGAAAAGAAAACATTTTTCCTAATGTAACAATGCGAATGCTAGAAAATGACAAGACTGATCGGTTTTAAGCCATTCTGAAGACTGACTGAGCGTGGAAGTTGCTCAACAAAAAAAGGAACGGGTATATTGGTAAGTAGTCTTTGCTTTGTGTCTAATTATAGTGACTGTCCTTTTGCACGACTGTATGTCGCTGTCATTATATGGAGCACTCTGAGTATCTCTATTGACTTCTGATAAATGGCTCAGTGGTTTCAAGGTTCATAATTTGAAGGATGCCCAGGTCTGTAGCCATTAATTCTCGCAGTATGGGGCTTCCTGCTTGTGTGACGAAAGGACTTTTCATTTTCATTATTTCTGTGCTTTCCACAAGATCGGAAGGATGTATTTCATCCAGGATCGTGCATTTTTTCTATCTAGTTAGCTTGCAAAGGGTTGTAGACATTAAGTAGTCATAACTGTGCATTTACTTTCTTTTTTTTCTTTTATTCTTTCCTCTTTTTTGTTAAAAAAAAAACCTGCCTCCAAACAAAGACAAATACAGCTGTATTATTGTGGCTGAGGAAAGGGAAAGGAAAATGCTCAGTTTCAGCACTGGAAACTACTGGATGTCTAGAGGTTAACCTGGGGATAGAGCATTCCAATGATTTTTAAAAATAGATAAATATGCAGAAATTACAATAAAAATGTAATATATAAAGGAAGCTGAGGGAGCATCCATCGTTAATGTACTTAAGACAAAGGCTAGTGCTGCAAACTGGTATCTTTGCAGGCACTTGATGTTTATATACAGGGTTTCCCATATTAGGAAATAAGAATTCTTTTAAGAGTGATAGAAAATATACTGGGAGGGAGGGAGGAGGGGGTGGTGAGATAGAGACACATAGAGAGAAATATACAGGACACTCCCAGCATTTTGTGGCTTTTACTCCATATATGAAAGAAGACAAAAACATACAAAGTATATGTACAACTAAAATTCAACAATATATACAGAAATGTTTCTTGATATAAACGTCCCTATTAGCTTAGTGAATGCCACCAATTCACCTAGTAAAGATATCAAAGCAATAGAATGGCGATTTTGGTTGTTTCCTCTGTCTTTCCTGATTCCAGTTTAGGGTTTGAGGGTAGGGGTGGGGAAAGAGTGGTTTTGTTTTGTTTTGTTTAAATCATCATTCTTGCTCATTGCATTTGGATAAAACATGCAGCGTTCCCTTTGTGGCAATGTTCTAATCTTACAGCCGATTTTTCCTTTTTCTTTAGAGAAGGGCTGTTATATGAGGGTGTTTTCCTTTTCTTTTCTTTCTTTCCTTGTTTGTCAGTCTGGGGTTGTAAATAAAAATGCAGGAGTCCGAAATGCTTCTCTTTCATCATGTAATGTCTTAAACTCATTAAACAAGTAAAAACGCTGCCATGTTTGCGCAGATTCTTCTGGTGGGGGAAAATGTTTGTAAAAAAAAGTCATTTTGATGGATACTCCCAAAGAGGAGAAGCGGCTCGGAGCCTGGATCCCAAGGGGTGAGGGAAAATATCCTTACAGTGAGAGGTTTCATGAGTGCTGGCGTAGAAACCAGTCTCTCAATCTCTCTCTCTCCCACTCTCTCTGTTTCTAAGATGCAAGATCAATTACTGAGACTGCTCAAGGGAAAAGGCAGATGAGGAAAGGAAAGAAAAAAGAAAAGAAAGGTGGGAAGGAAGAAGACAAAAGAAAGAGTGAGAGAGAGAGACAGAGGGAAAGCAGGGGAGAGAGGCAGCCAGCGCCCAGACCGTCTGGCCACACTTAAGAGTTCTCCAGAGCCTGCTCGTTGGCTCGGTTTGACAGATGCCAGCAGGTCCCGGATTCTCTTTGCTTTGTTCAGACGTTTCCCTAGGGTATCGATTTCCCTCGGACAACTCACATCATCTGTGGTCTCTGCATCGTGTCCTGGTGTGGTGAGGAGTACCAATGCGAATAGCCGGGCATGTAGCTGTTGGGGGGCATACTGACGCCCTTGGCCGAGGCGGAAACGTCCCACACCGGAGGCAGCGCCGGCGAGCGCGGTGACAGGGCTGCTGAGCCTGGGAGAGGGTCGCTCTCGTGCGGGTTACTGCCCTGCTTCAGCAGTTTCTTAAACTTAGAACGTTTGTTCTGAAACCATATCTTCACCTGGAACGAAAAGCAGCAGTGATTACTAGGCCCGAAAAATATCGAGCTGGTGCCTATAGTGGGGTGGGGGTGGGGTGGGGGTGGGGGACCCGCAAACACCAAGTCCTCAAGACCCCACCTTCCTCTACTTCTTTCTAGCCAACCCCCCTCTCCTCCACCCCCTTCCGTCCCCGTCATTTACTAGATATCTTGTCTGGACACCTAAAGTCATTGGAACTCTTCAGTTAGATGCAAGTCTAATTTTGACTCAATAATGTAAACAAGAATAAAATGAGAATAAAGGCGAATGAGACAGCTGGGTTCAAAGTCTAAAGGAGGATTTTTAAAAGGAGAATTTTTCAGATCAAAGCCAATTGAACGCACTTCCTCCAATAGTCTGGCATCTCTGTGTATGTACTGTGAGCAAATGACTATGAACAGATTAAAGCTTGGATATTTATAACCAAATGGCTTGGGTATACCTAAGCACATATTGCACATGGCACAGACTCTACATGGAGCATCTTTCTTCTGACATAAATATATCCCCATAATCCTGCAGGGATTAGGGACTGTACCTCACTCACTTCCTACTTTGTATGTTGTTTAGTCAAATTGTGATCATGATTGTTAGTGTAGTCACTGAAAGTCAAAGTCTAGGTGGGAGCATATCTAAGCTAACATCCCACATATCTTTAATTGAAGAAGGACATTCTAGGGTGCAGCTTCCTTTACTTTTAAAATTACTTAGGCTTAGAAATCCTCTTTTTCAAGAGGAATACAAGTTACTGAGTAGTAGGAATCCTTTCATATTAAACCTATAATATTTCCAGTGGTAACATGGCAAGAGAAAGCAAGCTGAATTGAAAAGGAGAATCTGTTCTAAGGCACCACACAATCATTCCCCAGCACAAGTCTCATAAAACCTGAAGTCCTCTTGCTGAAGATCACCCATTGTAGATGAGGCCTACCACCCTGCGCAGCTAAGTTAATCAACAAGGACAAAACCCACAGGTGATTGTAGCCTGGCTTTATGACCAGGGTCCTAATATACCCACACAAACCCCTTCCTGTGAAGTCTGAAATGCCCCATAAGTCTTTCAAATTAGTAAGACAGGAGAACTTCAGCAACTGTACTTAACTGAGGCTTCACCTGCTATAATGTGGGGGAGCATTTCTCTTTGATCTCTGGCTCTGCCATTGCTCCCAAGTTCTGTGCTCCAGGGGGGTACCTCAGCCTGGACCAGCCAGTCACCCAGGATGATTTAAGTACTGAGTTTAGGGCAATTTTCTGAAAAGCCCTCCTTACCCATCCTAGGATGGATAGTTTGCACATTGGTCCCTCTACTAAATTCTATTGGTGCCTATGCCTGCCTGGCTTAACTCGCCTTTTCACTTCATAATACTTCCTTTCAATGTCAATGAGTTGAAATTCTTATTAAATGCCAGGGCCCACAAAAGGATCCTTAGAAAGCATGAGTTTTATTCTGCCTCTTGGCCTGAACATCTTTTTCTATTTCTCCTACATGTTTGTTCTTTTTCATGTTGTTCTACTCTGGAATAGGACTTGATTAGATTGTACATTTGGTCCTCAAAGGACACTAGGCTGGGGTGGGGTCGCTGAGGGCTGAGAGGATGTGCAAATCAAACCCAGTTTTCAATACCAGGTCATGTATTCCAAACTGTTGTCCTGGGAAAGTGCATAACTGGAGCAAAAGCATTTGTCATTAAGCTCCTTCCATCCTTGGTGGACTAGGCCAGTAATTCCTCCTGATGTGTTCCCTGCCCATCTGCAAGTGGGGTCAGCATTTCAGGGAAACTTAGGCTTCTTGGGAATTACCTGTGTTTGTGTCAGTCCTAAGGAAGCTGCCAGTTCAGCTCTCTCGGGAAGAGCCAGGTACTGAGTCTGCTGAAAGCGATGGTTTAAAGCCTGGAGCTGCAGGCTGGAATAAATGGTCCGAGGCTTCCGAATCTTTTTCCCTTTTCCATTGAACCTGATTTCCCCGTTTTCAATCACTGTGGTTTTTTGTTGATCTGCAAGCAAAAGATACAGAGGAGAGGTCACCTGTGAGGCTACTGCTGCAGTCTCCCTGAGCTTGGCCTGGCTTGCTCCAGGTCTCCCCATAGCCTAACATGGGTTTCCTGAACGCGTCCCCACGGCACCTCGACCTCTCTGGGTTCACCGTGACCGGCTGCTCCCAGTGGTTGCAAAAGCTTCTTTCCGACCCTGACTCTGGCTCTAATAATGCGCAGTGGCTGGACTGACGGAGCGCCCTGGGCCCCGGGGCAAACAGCCTAGGTCGGCCGCAGCGGAGGCGGCGCCGGCTGCTCTCTGGGGCTCGCGGCGCCGCGGGGCGGCTGCTCTCTCTGCTGAGCAGGGCCCCTCGGCCTGGTTTTACAGTGCTTTAAGCTGTGCTTGAGCCACCCTAGTGTTTTTGCGGCCAGTTGGTTTGATGTCACTAGTTCCAAGCCCGGTGCATCAGGATCCCTCGGCGTGTTCGAAAATGATTTTGCTGAGAGGAACCCCAAACAAAACACAACCAGCCGCTCAGACCGGCACCCGAGCAGGCTGTCTCACGCGGCAACTTTGTCCACCACGGGTGCTGAGCCCTCTGCTTCACCTCTGCGAACAAAGGAGCAGCCAACATTGTATCGAAAACCCAGAGGGAGGGGGCCCAGTTAGGGGTGACGGTGGGAGACACCTCAAAGCCCGCGGGAAAGAGCCCAACTGTCACCAGCTTAACCAGAGCCAGAGGCCACGCCAGCTTCCCTCCGGGTCACCGAAGAGCACCGGGCGCCTCAGGAAAAGTAGGCCACTGGCTGCCCAGATCAGGTTGGGGAGTAAGACACGGTGCCCAGTTCCGGCCCAGTAATGTCCCCAGTACTGCCAAACGCGGGTCATAGCCCCGAAGGGAGGAGGGAGGCAAAGGGCGCACTGACCCAACGGGCTGGAGAGCGCGGCGGGGGCCAACTGGTTGAGCGAAGCCTTCGCTGAGCCCGAGGAGCGGCCCGAGCCGCGCGCGGGAGACGAGGGAGCGAGGCGGGCGGAGCCGCGCTGAAGCCGAGGGTCCGCGGCGGCGGGAAGGG